TCAAAGCAGCTTCACAGTATTCATAAAACATAATAACAATGTTCGTTTCTTTAGTGGAAAAACATCCACGTTTTGGTAGAGCCAAGGGTATTACTCATTGGTTAATTAATTTGTATATCACCAACTGAGCAAGCCAAAGGCAAGGAACTGAAAAACTCCATCAGGTGACCTAAAGGTGTCCTAAAACTCCATCAAGTGACCCAATGGTGTCCTAAACTCCATCAGGTGACTCAATGGTGTCCTAAAACTCCATCAGGCGACCCAGTGGTGTCCTAAAACTCCATCAGGCGACCCAATGGTGTTCTAAAACTCCATCAAGTGACCCAATGGTGTCCCAAAACTCCATCAGGTGACCTAAAGGTGTCCTAAAACTCCATCAAGTGACCCAATGGTGTCCTAAACTCCATCAAGTGACCCAATGGTGTCCTAAAACTCCATCAGGTGACCCAATGGTGTCCTAAAACTCCATCAGGTGACCCAAAGGTGTCCTAAACTCCATCAGGTGACCTAAAGGTGTCCTAAAACTCCATCAAGTGACCCAATGGTGTCCTAAACTCCATCAAGTGACCCAATGGTGTCCTAAAACTCCATCAGGTGACCCAATGGTGTCCTAAAACTCCATCAGGTGACCCAATTGTGTTCTAAAACTCCATCAGGTGACTCAATGGTGTTCTAAAACTCCATCAAGTGACCCAATGGTGTCCTAAAACTCCATCAGGTGACCCAATGGTCTCCAAAAACTCCATCAGGTGACCCAATGGTGTCCTAAACTCCATCAAGTTACCTAATGATGTCCTAAACTCCTTCAGGTGACCCAATGGTGTCCTAAAACTCCATCAGGTGACCCAATGGTGTTCTAAAACTCCATCAAGTGACCCAACGGTGTTCTAAAACTCCATCAAGTGACCCAATGGTGTCCTAAAACTCCATCAGGTGACCCAATGGTCTCCAAACACTCCATCAGGTGACCTAATGATGTCCTAAACTCCTTCAGGTGACCCAATGGTGTCCTAAAACTCCATCAGGTGACCTAAAGGTGTCCTAAAACTCCATCAAGTGACCCAATGGTGTCCTAGAACTCCGTCAGGTGACCCAATGGTGTTCTAAAACTCCATCAAGTGACCCAATGGTGTCCTAAACTCCTTCAGGTGACCCAATGGTGTCCTAAAACTCAATCAGGTGACCCAATGGTGTCCTAAACTCCATCAGGTGACCCAATGGAGAAAAAACCCTTGGGAGACCCCAGGCTCAGTCGGGGGCCAGTTCTCCTCTGGCGTTTATGAACTAAAGGCCGGATTTGCAGTAACTGTAAGCAGTACTTGAAGTGGGAAGAAAAGGTGCCGGTACTCTCTTGCATTGGCAAATCTTGACATTTGAAATTTTTACAGGGAAAAACAAAACTTGGAAATATTGCTCTTACAACAACAATTTATTGTTATTTACAACATCAATGTATTTAAACAAGTAGGGTGTGTGCACGCATTTCTTTAAAAAGAAACATTATCTTTTTAGAAGTTGGTCATTAATGAACTTGATTCTTGAAGTTTGTTAAGATGGAAAGTATACAGCAATTGCCAGTAAATGGTAAACAACAGAAACAACCAAGAAAACAGCTCCCGGTATGTCTTTTCAGTCATAATTTGATGTGTTAACAAGACAGAAAACATAAAATAAGTAGGCCTACACTACTTTGATTTGGGCATAGGCTACCTCTCTGTGTAGGCTATTACATAAACTAAAAGAAAAGCTTAGGCTATATTCAGACTAGCTTGCTTGTTTTATTTATTTATAAAACATAGTTTTACCCAAACTGAATAATTAAGACAAGTTTAAATGGCTAAATCCTGTATAAATATCTTTTTCTTTTCTGACGTATAGCCGACTCCAGTTCTTGTTAAAACACACTATGCAAATTCTGTGCATTTGGTCACTTTTTGTGTGAAATCATATTTATTTTCTCCATCAAAAGTGTGCTTTCACCTTAAATGAGTGTGAGCACAACAAAAATAGCTACACTCTCCCGCTTCACTGCTGCTTACGCGACGCTCCTCCTCGCGGTGTGAATGTATTCGTTCACTGCTCACTCTTGCGGTGGCCGTGAATCCCGCGATCAGCTCCGGTTGCTGTTTCGCAGCTGTAACACGACACAGATGTGTGCAGTAAATAAGGGGTTAAACGGCCGTCACGCTTTTTCTGTCAGTGGTTTAGAGTACTGGCTACATGCGAGAAGTAGCGGTACGCAAGAATAAGTGCAGGTACGCTTAAGAGTAAAATGTAGAAGTGCCGGTACTGCGTACCGGTGAGTACCGCCCCACTTCGAGCACTGACTGGAAGGTAATAATGTATATGAATGTCTCTAAACAGACTTTAAACGCGAACCTGTGATAAACGCTGATATGTCACATGCGCATAAAGAACTGATTCTATAGTTATGTGCGTTTGAATATATGTGCGCAGGTTTGTAAATCCCTACAAAACCATGCCTGAACAAACGACTTGTCTTGTCTATAAATTTGATAATGAATTTCGTTTTATTTTATCACTTCGGGGGAAGGGATGCAAAACAAACTCACAACGCTTTATCTGTAGAGTGGGAAGGGATCCTCCATAGGGAGAGGCTAGTTGGCACTTTACACCTGAAAACAATTCAAATTCAAAACATTTTGTCATATTATTAGCTCCATACTATTATAGTATAGATATTCCTAAAGTAAAATGGAAAGAATCTTGTGTATTTGCCCAAACCCATCGCTTTAACACTAAATTACTGCACTGTATATGGCTCTTCAGGGCCGGCCTTTCCAGTCAAATTACCTTTGACACGTCGAAAAGCTTGTTTTCTAAATAAAGGTGCTGTCTTTGCTTTTCCTGTTCAGATTGATGCGGTGATTGACAGCTGATTGATGCTGGTTATCTGTCGTTAGCTATCTTGCTCAGCACGGTCTGCGTTCGCTCGTTTAACTGTTGCTCGAGAGACGTTGATGAAGTTGGTGGAGGTCTCGCTGCGGGTTCATGAGCTCATTGAGTTATGTCGCAGCCGTGTGTTCATGTGTCACTGGAGAATGTGACGGCCTCAATATGATCTAATCGGTCATTGGTCTATCACAGAGAGCTGGTTATTAATCTGACACAGAGCTGATAACGCAGCACTTTCAGTAAGAGGGTGTGTGACGACACTCACATGAAATACTTCACTAGGCTGAATAACACAGAGTAAAGCGTGTGCTGTGGAGGTTAAATGTAGACCTCGTGTAATGCTAATTCTTGGGATAGTTGGAGGTTGACAGTGTTGATCTTGACTATTCCTGACTGACTAGTGCTTTGATTCTGAGTTGGTTTCTTTTAATTAGTCTTCCTCCAGAGTCAATGCCGTCACACATGCTTGTCTGTTTCTGTAAATCACAGACGAACTCATGTTGGTCAGACCAGCTGTTGTCAGACTCCTCCTGCATTAATCGATGTTTTATTAACAAGTTTCGGGAGGATCACGTTCTAATGATCAAACAATCAAGTCAGCCAGCTGTCAGCAATCAGTAATCAACTGGTTCACTCAATCAGCACAAGTAAAGCCTATAAAAACACACAGTTGACTCACCCTTATTCCTCGACTGTTCTCAGCATTTGGTGTACTGCTTTGCAAAAAGATGTCCCAAATGCAACTTTCAACATCCGATGACGACCTCAACCATGCTCCGCCGCCATCAGCTGGCCCCAGGACAACTTCTCCACCTGATACCGCCTCCGAGCCCCACGTTTCATCTCGTGGGCGCCGGTCGGTACAAACAACTCCTTGCATGCCAAGACGCCGGGGCTTACCCTCACCTCCACCGGCGAGGACTCCAGCTTCCTCCCCAGCGTCCTCCTATCGTTCGGCCGTGCCAACGATTCCGCCTATTGAAAAGTGGACAGTCTTGAGTCTAAGACAAGCGCTGATAAACTCAGATTTTCAGCCCTCGCGCAGGATGACTAAAGTGCAACTTTACAACATGTACGTTACCTTGCAATCATCAAACATCTCTCCTAGATCCACCCCAGGTTCCAAGGCGGCCAGCAGGCCGGGAAATTCTCGCGAGGCCCTGAACTCGCCTCGCCCGACTCTGCAACCTTCCCGTACAAGGTCTGGTTTTCCGCGCGCTTCGGCCCGGAGCGCCAGGATTTCTGCGAGCCTGGGTCGCGCTCCAGATTCCACCGCCACGAGACATCACTCGCCTCTCGCTTCACCTCAGCTTTTCAGCACGGCGCTTCCCGCCGCAGCGCCATTCACAGCTGGGCCCGCCGGCTCACATTCCGCTTCCCAGTTTTTTCCTCCTGCTGTTTCTAACCCCTTTCCTCTGCAGTGGCCTCCGGCTCCCGTAGCAAACGCTAGCGTGAGGTTGCCTCCGCTAGCGGCAGAGGCTCAAACTTTCCACCAGTTTCCTGCGACTAACCCCTCCCCTTTTCAGTGGCCTGCAGCCCAAGCAAGCGCAAGACCACCTCCGCTTGCAACACAGGCTCAGGCATCTCATCCATTTTCTCCTTTTCCCTCTGGTGCTTATTTCAATCTTCCTTCTCAAGCCCCACAGGCCGACCTAAGCGTGAGGCTGCCTCCGCCGACAGTCGCAGCCCAGGCTTCTCTCCCTTACAGCTCTCTTCTAAATGCCAAATCACAATATTCTCTTTTCACAGCTTCCCCGATGCCAGTTCCACCAAACGCCGTCGCTCTGGAGCCTCCCCCGGTGACTCAAAACATCCGAGCACAGATTATGGCAGGTGCGGATGTAGATCTCTCACATTTACTTTCTCTTTTTCCCGTATCCGATTCCAACCGTCAGTTAGACTGCGGGGATTTTTCAGTCACTTTAAAAAATCAAAATACACATTCGTCACGTTTACTTTCTTTTCCAGAGTTTTCAATTGCTTTCAGCCACTACACAGACATCATTTGCTCAGCCTTCCCCATAGACGACGCGAACTGAACGACTATTTAGCACTGATAGCCGAGCTCGCGTTGTCCTACGGGGGAGGGCACTTTTACACTTACCACAAACTCTTTTCAGCAAAATGCGCCGTTAGGGTTTCTCAGTGGAACCAATGCCCTTACTGGGGAGCACTAGACACTGACTTACACAGTAGAGTCTTCCTCGGCTGCAGGAATATTTCCTGCGCGGTCTGTAGGTCAGTGTCGCATCCCACGACATCGTGTCCCCAAGTTAACCCCTTCGTTTCTTCTGAAACAGCTCCAGTCAAATCCACTAGCTACACACCAAGACCGGCGACTAGCAACCTTCACGAGGCTAAATTCAGCTCCAGAGCACTCACAGACAACAAACAGCCTTGCAACAATTTTAACATTGGCAAATGCACCAGGCAGCGTTGTCGGTACTTGCACATATGCAGCTTTTGCGGCGGTGCTCATGCCCGTCCCGTATGCCCTGTATATAAAGATGTCAATAAAAAATCTAGAAATTATTTATCGACTCCTGTGAATATTTCTCGCCTTTCCATCGAACTAGCTCACCACCCGGACTCCGAATTCACCGAATATCTGCTGTCTGGCCTACTACACGGCTTTAAACCTGGAGTGGTTTGTCCGCTCTCCCAAAACATCATCTGCGATAATCTCCAATCGGCTCTCGCCGAGCCCGACGTGGTAGACAACCTGATTAAAAAAGAAGTCGAGTCAGGCTTTATGATCGGCCCTTTTGACGAGCCTCCTTTCAAAAATTTTCGCATTAGCCCCATTGGAGTGGCTACGAGAAAGTTTTCAGGTAAGAAACGCCTCATAGTCGATCTGTCAGCTCCACATAAGTCCATGTTCCCAAGCATTAACAGCCTGATCCCACTCAACGAATTTTCTCTCAAATACCACGACGTAGATCACGCAATCGACCTGATTAAAATCGTGGGTCGGGGTGCCTGGCTCGCTAAAATTGACATCACTTCAGCTTTTAAAGTGATGCCCATCCACCCGGATTCATGGCACTTATTCGGCGTGCGCTGGCATGAGAAATTTTATTTCGCCGTACGCTTAACTTTTGGATGCAAAAGCAGCCCCAAAATTTTCGACATGCTATCTGAAGCCGTTTGCTGGATCTTGTCAAACAATTACGCAATTCCTCACCTCATTCACCTGCTGGACGATTTTCTAATAATTTCGCCTCCTGGCGCCATTCCAGCAGCCCAGATCCTCACAGTTCAAAAAGTCTTTTCCGAGCTCGGAATCCCCATCGCCCAGGAAAAAACCATGGGTCCCGCTACATCCATCGAGTTCCTTGGCATTAATCTAGATTCAGTTCGATTCCAGGCCTCCCTGCCCAAGGAGAAAATTGATAGGATAATCCTCATCTCATCTACCCTCGCGGACAGTCCAGAGTGTTCCAAACGCGAACTCCTATCCATGCTCGGCCACTTAAACTTCGCCATGCGCATTATTCCACAAGGCCGCCCTTTTATTTCTCATCTCCTCTTTCTCGCGTCTTCAGTCCACGCACTAGAGGATCTAATTTCCATAACTCCGGCATGCCGCGACGAACTCGGGCTATGGATAACTTTCCTTAAACAGTGGAACGGCCTATCCTTTTTCTATAAGGATCTAATTTCCTCCCCCCTCGACATCCAGCTGTTCACAGATGCAGCCCCCTCTGTTGGCTTTGGAGGGTTCTACCAAGGTCGCTGGTTCGCGTCTACGTGGCCCCCCAAATACAGGACACGCTTCAGTCCTCTGCATTATTCGAGCTCTACCCTCTCGTAGTAGCAGCCTTCCTGTGGGGGAAAGAATGGACTGCTAGCAGCATTGTAGTGCATTGTGACAACGAAGCTACAGTCCAGTGCATTAATAAAGGCCGTTCCCATGCACCCGCTCTAATGCCACTTTTAAGACGTCTAACCTGGATTTCCGCATGTGACCAATTTATCTTAATCGCAAAACACATCCTCGGGTCAAAAAAAACCAAATTGCTGACTCTCTGTCTCGCTTTATGTTTCAGAAATTCAGGATGCTGGCTCCAGAGGCGGACGAGCTCCCAACTCCAGTACCTCATTATTCGGAATTAATATTCCCATAACTCACCCGCAAAAATCCCTCCTCAACAGATCGCTCGACACCATTCTCCAAGCTGTTTCCCCCAGAACTCTCCAATCCTATGTGACCGCATGGAGATGTTTCAAAGCCTTCCACCTTTCTTATAACACGCCATTTCCTGATTTTTCCCTCCTTACAATAACCTCCTTTATCTCTTACCTCGACAGTGTCAAAAACCTCCAAGTCGGGTCCATCAAAAGTTATTTAAGCGGCATCCAATTTTTTCACAAATTGATCCACGGCGCCCCCTCTCCGGAAATAAATAATTCACAAACCTCCCTCTTGATTAAAGGCATCCAACGATCCCAGCCCACCCGCCCGGATACCAGACAACCCATAACTTTAGATATTCTCACTAAATGCATTCAGACCCTCCGCACAGGCTACCGATCCCTCAATACCTCCCGCACACTCGACGCCATGTTCATTCTAGCCTTTTTTGGTTTCCTAAGATGCTCTGAACTGGCTATCACTTCCAGATTTGACCCAAAAATCCACCCAAACATCTCAGATCTCTCAGTGCTCGACAACGAAACAATCTCGTTTCTGATTAAACAGAGCAAAACAGACCAAACCAAAAAAGGCCACTTCATATATATTTTCAACCTCTCGTCACCAATTCAACCGTTCCAAACTATATTAGCCTACCTCCAACTGAGAAACTCTCATGCAAAATCCCCTCTCGAACCCTTGTTCATCGACGATTCTAACAAACCCGTGACACGCTTTTGGTTCCAAAAACACCTAAAATCTGTTCTCCAACTTTCAGGCATCCCAGCAGAGAATTTCTCCAGTCATTCCTTCCGCATTGGAGCAGCAACCTCAGCAGCCCAAAAAGGCCTCTCTCAGCAACAGATCCAAGCGCTCGGAAGATGGTCCTCAGACGCGTTCCAAACTTATATCAGAACTAATCGTTTCCATGTCAAAAAAGCCCACCAAATCCTCATTGGTTAAAAAAAAAAAAAAAAAAAAAAAAAAAAAAAAAAACTTTTCGAGTATCCATTCCATGCCTTCTCGTTCTTCATCCGGCAAATATTGATCTCCCAGCGGACATAGCGAGAGCCTTCCTGGTCGAGCTTCTATGTCTTCTCTGTCTCCGTCCAGCAAGTATTAATCTCCCAGCGGACCCAGAGACAGCCTTCCCAGTCGAGTAATTATATCTCCTCTTTCTCCGTCCAGCGAGTATTGATCTAGCGGACACAGCAAGAGCTTTCCTGGTCGATTATTTATGTCTATTATTTCTCCGTCCAGCGAGTATTGATCTCCCAGCGGACCCAGTGATAGCCTTCCCGTTCGAGTATTTATACCTCCTCTTTCTCCGTCCAGCGAGTATTGATCTCCCAGCGGACACAGCGAGAGCTTTCCCGGTCAATTATTTATATCTATTCTTTCTCCGTCCAGCGAGTATTGATCTCCCAGCGGACCCAGAGATAGCCTTCCTGGTCAGGTACGCATATCTCCCCTTTCTCCGTCCAGCGAGTATTGATCTCCCAGCGGACTCAGCGAGAGCTCCCTTGGTCGAGCATCTTCATCTCCTCCTCCATCCAGCGAGTATTGATCTCCCAGCGGACTCAGCAAGAGCTCCCTTGGTCGAGCATCTTCATCTCCTCCTCCATCCAGCGAGTATTGATCTCCCAGCGGACTCAGCGAGAGCTCCCTTGGTCGAGCATCTTCATCTCCTCCTCCATCCAGCGAGTATTGATCTCCCAGCGGACTCAGCGAGAGCTCCCTTGGTCGAGCATCTTCATCTCCTCCTCCATCCAGCGAGTATTGACCTCCCAGTGGACATAGCCTAACCCTCCCAGTAAAGCATCTATGTTTTTCTTTCAGGACTGGTGAGGCTTACCGATGCCGGGACCTTTGCCACAAGAACCCTCCCGTTCGGACACCGCGAGCTCTCCCAGCCAAAACTACCAGGCTCTCCTTGAAATGCCAGCCCGCCAATCTCTGCGCTCTTTTCGGGGGGTCTTTAAGCAGGCGGCTGTCCTTTACTTACTTTGCTTTTTGGGGAGTACTCTGGGTTCGGGCCCAATTTCCGAGCTCGGAGCCCTCCCCCCGGACAGCACGCCAAATACGCATAACTATTTTTATTCTCTGATCATTAGTGAGTGTGAACTCGTGAATCGATGTTTTATTAACAAGTTTCGGGAGGATCACGTTCTAATGATCAAACAATCAAGTCAGCCAGCTGTCAGCAATCAGTAATCAACTGGTTCACTCAATCAGCACAAGTAAAGCCTATAAAAACACACAGTTGACTCACCCTTATTCCTCGACTGTTCTCAGCATCCCTCCACCACCCCATCTCCTCACACTTGCCTAATTATCTTCCTAAACAGAGATACGGGGGGAGTACTCTGGGTTCGGGCCCAATTTCCGAGCTCGGAGCCCTCCCCCCGGACAGCACGCCAAATACGCATAACTATTTTTATTCTCTGATCATTAGTGAGTGTGAACTCGTGAAAAATATCACTGAATTATTACAATTAATGGCAATGATTGGAAACATGAACTGATATTTCTCATGGACACACTACAGCAAAAGCTATGTATAGTAAATTTGCAAACATTAATTTACAAACATAATCCATGACATTTACAAATCCAAAGCACAATTCATTTACTGTATATACACTTTAAAAAATGCTGGGTTGTTTTGACCCAATTTTGGGTCAAATATGGACAAACCCAGCCATTGGGTTACATTTTTAAATTACACTTTTAACCCAATGTTTGAGTTTGTCCATTTTTGACCCAAAATTGGGTTAAAACAACCCAGCATTTTTTAGCGTGTACATGTGTGTTTGCACATTTATGAATGTTTTGCACCAATTGATCCTTGAATCTGCATTCAGAAATTGAAATGATTTATGAATTAAAAGAAGGTTTTTACACTTTTCTCATTTGGGATGATTCCTTATAGACAAAATCAAGTCTAGGTGGTACGTCACATTAGGGCAGTAAAGTGGTCAGGGGTCTCCATGTGAGGACGTCTCTTCATTTCTAACTCGATGTGCCTTACAGCAGAAGTGTGGACAGGTGATGTGTCGACGTGTTTCTCCTCTGTCATGGGGTGCGGATCTCTGTCTCTCTGTCCACAAAGCGAGGTCTGTTTGTGTGTGAGCTGCCAGTTCACTGAGCAGTGTTCAATCCCTCTTTCATTGAGTCCTCCCTCGCTCTCATTATTCCGGCCGGAAGCACATCAGAGAACAACAGGCTCTCTCTGCCGGGCCGTGTGTTGATGTCCATCAGATCGCTCTTTGTTGTGGCGTGGGGTTTCACTGCCCGTCTCACACAGATCCTGAGGGTTTGCTCAGACCTGCGTGAGGTCAGCTGACGTGATGTGTCATGTGATCGCTGTTGTTTTAGCTCACAGGCTGCTAAAACAATCATTCTTTACTCTTTTCAGTGCAACACTAACATGTTTGCTAACAGCTGGACTTCACAAATAACGAGATCAAATGAGCTAAATCTTCATTGCTGTGCTTGAATCGTAATGGCTGTGTGTTTGCTTCTATCCTTGCACTGTTGTGTTGTTAGTTCCACCCTGCGAACCCCAGCAGTTTTAAGGCACTGAATATTACAGGCCTATTTCCTAATCCTCAGTTTTGGCTAAGGCTTCACATTCTTTAGTGAGTGATCATTGGCTCATCGAGACCGATGACTACAGACTCGGCTATAGCTGAAGATCACCGTCAGGGTGAAAATGGACGTTGAATCGCTTTATGCCAATGTAATATTTCAGGATGGTCTGGAAGAGATCTGCTGTCTGTTGGATTTGACCAAACTAGTTTTATCATGTCATTTCTTTCTTTTGGGGCCTGATTTCAGTCAATAAGAAGCGAAGACAGGAGGCTGTTTTCTGTGTCGCTCATGAACTGCTCACACACACACCGATTAAAGCACGTTCTCTCAAATCCCGCTCCGACATTACAGTTCTCCGTGTGCCACTAAAGCGGAAGTTGTATAAATAAACGTGCCGGATCTCAGCGCTGGTGTGTAGACGTATATATCCACATCTCTACCATCAGATGATTTCTGAACGAGTGTTTATTGTGTTATTGAGAGGATTTCCATATGCTCTCATCTGTGTGGATGGTGTCTGATGTGTTTTAGTCATTTTTGCAATGCTTCTTTTTAGCAAATATGCCAATATATACTATTTACTAAGTGTAATAGTGAGTGATCTTTAGACTCATCTATAGATGGTTATCAGGGTCACCCACCAAGACACACATAATAGTAAAATACGCCAATAAATAGTAACTAAATAACAAAAATGTAAC